TAGGGACAGCTAGTACAGATGTCATTAACAGATGAAAGTGATCCTGTTGATGTCATTAACCTGGTAAGGTTGTATGGAAGTGATCCTGTTGATGTCATTAACCTGGTAAGGTCGTATGGAAGTGATCCTGTTGATGTCATTAACCTGGTAAGGTCGTACGGAAGTGATCCTGTTGATGTCATTAACCTGGTAAGGTTTTACGGAAGTGATTTTAATGACATCAACAGGTTTAGTAAGGTCGTATGGAAGTGATCTTGTTGATGTCATTAACCTGGTAAGGTCGTATGAAAGTGATCCTGTTGATGTCATTAACCTGGTAAGGTTGTACAGAAGTGATCTTGTTGATGTCATTAACCTGGTAAGGTTGTACAGAAGTGATCTTGTTGATGTAATTAACTTGATAAGGTCGTATGGGAATGATCCTGTTGATGTAATTAACTTGATAAGGTCGTATGGGAATGATCCTGTTGAGCTCATTAATTTGGTAAGGTCGTGTGAAAGTGATCCATTCTTTTGATGTCATTACCTGTGTGTTGTTCATTAATCCTAAATAAGCCTTTGCGTCATCTTTTAAATTAGGGTCTAAATGTTTGACCATTACTAGAAGAACATTATTGAAAAAAGCGTGAGAATATCTTCTGAAATAACCCCAGCACTTGTTACGACGTTTATCTTAGAATCTTCTGAAATAACCCAGCACTTGTTACGACGTTTATCTTAGAATCTTCTGAAATAACCCAGCACTTGTTACGACGTTTATCTTAGAATCTTCTGAAATAACCCAGCACTTGTTACGACGTTTATCTTAGAATCTTCTGAAATAACCCAGCACTTGTCACGACGTTTATCTTAGAATCTTCTAAAATAACCCAGCACTTGTTACGAGGTTTATCTTAGAATCTTCTGAAATAACCCAGCACTTGTTACGACGTTTATCTTAGAATCTTCTGAAATAACCCAGCACTTGTTACGACGTTTATCTTAGAATCTTCTGAAATAACCCAGCACTTGTTACGACGTTTATCTTAGAATCTTCTGAAATAACCCAGCACTTGTTACGACGTTTATCTTAGAATCTTCTGAAATAACCCAGCACTTGTTACGACGTTTATCTTAGAATCTTCTGAAATAACCCAGCACTTGTTACGACGTTTATCTTCGAATTTTCGAGAGAGAGGAGACAGATAATCAAAATACTATAGTATATTATGTCTACTCTTATATGACCAAATTGTTGGTTTTGGCCATACTTCGTTTAATGCACCCACGTGCTCAAAGTGTGTAGTGCCTGTTTTTGTTGTTGTTCTGTGACAGAGGGACGCGAACCAAGAATCACAGTTCGGACACACTAACAGTTGCAATACATCCGATCCTGTAACAATGTTATGCACCGATAGCTGATAAAACATTGAAACCAATTCGTGATAAATATCGCAGTAAACTGCCAATGTCCCCTCCCCCTTCACATTCCTCCAAACGAATCCATTGCGAATATGACATCAGAACAAAATATAGCATTAGGACGCCATTTAGGTTTTGGAACCTTGAGTACTTTAACAAGGAAAAGATAAACCCTCCAAATATATTGTATAAACAGGCAAGAACGTGGTCAAGCTGTTCTGACTACTCTTGATCAAGAAAGAGTTCCTAAAGTCTAACCAGTGAAGTCATTAAAGAAATCCAGTTAACACTAGAGTTTATAAATCGTTAGATTAACGCGGTCTCTATTCTCTAGAAAAAGAACCATCATAGTTTACAGAAGAAACACCTTTGTTTGCAGAAGTTTTGTCTTGAACCTTTAGCAGGGTAGAATATTCAACACGCATCGTATACTGATATACGAGCTGCTTATCAGAGGGTCCAGGGTTCGAGGCGTGATGCCGCTGAAAACGTCACGCGCGTTATGAAAGCGAAAGTCAAACATCTTATTCGGTTTAAAAAAGCCAGCGTAATAAAAGCGAATGTCAAACATCTTATTCGGTTTAAAAGGGCCAGCGTAGTAAAAGCTAGAGTCAAACATCTTATTCGGTTTAAAAGGGCCAGCGTAGTAAAAGCGAGATTCAAACATCTTATTCGGTTTAAAAGGGCCAGTGTAATAAAAGCTAGAGTCAAACATCTTATTCGGTTTAAAAGGGCCAGCGTAATAAAAGCTAGAGTCAAACTTCTTATTCGGTTTAAAAGGACCAGAGTAATAAAAGCTAGAGTCAAACATCTTATTCAGTTTAAAAGGGCCGACGTAATAAAAGCGAAAGTCAAACATCTTATTGGGTTTAAAAGGGCCTGCGTAATAAAAGCTAGAGTCAAACTTCTTATTCGGTTTAAAAGGGCCAGAGTAATAAAAGCTAGAGTCAAACATCTTATTCAGTTTAAAAGGGCCGACGTAATAAAAGCGAAAGTCAAACATCTTATTGGGTTTAAAAGGGCCTGCGTAATAAAAGCTAGAGTCAAACATATTCGGTTTAAAAGGGCCAGACAAAACTCTTGCGTCAACAGGTGTTGTTTGCTTACTGCTTCTCTTCTGGTCAGTAGTTCAAATTGTTAGATGTTCGCTCTTCTGGTCAGTAGTTCAAAATGTCAAATGTTCGCTCTTCTGGTCAGTAGTACAGAATGTCAAATGTTCGCTCTTCTGGTCAGTAGTACAATATATCAAATGTTCGCTCTTCTGGTCAGTAGTTCAAAATGTCAAATGTTCGCTCTTCTGGTCAGTAGTACAATATATCAAATGTTCGCTCTTCTGGTCAGTAGTTCAAAATTTCAAATGTTCGCTCTTCTGGTCAGTAGTTCAAAATGTCAAATGTTCGTTCTTCTGGTCAGTAGTACAAAATGTCAAATGTTCGCTGTTCTGGTCAGTAGTACAAAATGTTAGATGTTCGCTCTTCTGGTCAGTAGTTCAAAATGTCAAATGTTCACTCTTCTGGTCAGTAGTACAGAATGTCAAATGTTCACTCTTCTGGTCAGTAGTTCAAAATGTCAAATGTTCTATTGTTCCCACGAAGTTCTATATCTCTAGCTTCTCAAGAAAACTGGATTGTTGAATGTTTAAAGATGTAAAAGTGATCCCGATGGATTATAACAAATGAACGTTCCAGCAACTAGAAACCTGTGAGATCGTATACGGGTCATCACTTAACTCACGCACATTCATATCTTTATTTACTGGCCTTATATCCAAGTGTAACCGGGAATCGTTAACCTGAACATTGTATGCACGTGAACTGAACGTGGGTTCGGCTACAGCAGTCCCTCGATTCGACAATTTTATTCCGAATTCCTTTAAACGTAACTCTATAGTGAGTCGTCTCAATAGAGAATATTACACCTGTTCTAACTACCTCTTTCTTTATAAACGACAACAATTACTTACATTTTATTCAAGTCCCAACAAATAATTTCCTTTCTCACAAATGTGAACCCCAAAGAAAACACACACTGTTGATAAATACCCATTAAGACTGATCGTTCCTTTCTTAGGTAAGCAAAGTTTCATAGTAAAGTCACAAATTTTAAGAATAATTAGAACGTTTTATCCACAAGTTCAACTACAAATGATATTTAAATCATCTTTCAAAATACAAAATTCATTCCGATCTAAAGACCTGTTACCTACCCTTATGCGTTCCAGGATCGTATACACACGTGGTGACTGTAATTCCACTAACATTGTCAAAACTATACGTCAATTACACCTGCGAATATATGGGAGTATCAAGTAGAACTGGTAAATAACTATCAAATCCATCAGACTCTACAATTCACACACGTAGTGAAAACACCAACCAGTCCATATTGATTACGGATTGCAAAGACATCTCATCTGGATATTAAACTTTTAATTAAAAAAAGTTTATCTATTATAAATGAACTCCCAACTTTAAATAATAACACAACTTCACTACAGTTAAGTCTGTTCTGAATAACTTATATAATATTGTTATAATTGTTTTATTATCCTATTCTTTGTTCATTTGTTTGCCCCCTAGTGGCACAGCGGTATGTCTGCGGATTTCAAAGGGTTCGATACCCGTAGTGGGCAGAGCACATATAGCCCTTTGTGTATATATTTGTGCTTGAATACATACATCAACATCATTTGTTTGTCTTGTAATTTACTTCATCTGTACTTTTATAAAATGTTTACTTTATAAATATTTGTACCTAATAGTTTACCCTGTTCAATGTAGCTTGCTGAAGATGGAATATGTATATTCCGAAACGTTCGTGAATTAAGTGTTTGTTACTGTACAGTACACACGTGTCAAACGTTCGTTGTTACTGTACAGTACACACGTGTCAAACGTTCGTTGATACTGTACAGTACACACGTGTCAAACGTTCGTTGTTACTGTACAGTACACACGTGTCAAACGTTCGTTGTTACTGTACAGTACAGACGTGTCAAACGTTCGTGAATTAAGTGTTTGTTACTGTACAGTACACACGTGTCAAACGTTCGTTGTTACTGCCGTCGTTCTACTCACTGTTCATCATTAAACTTCGACTATCATCGAATGAACGTGTTTTTAGAGATTATTTGTTGAATGTTACCAGATGTTTTTATATTTATAACCTCGTTTATTAGCTTTTTCTGGTGATTTACTTGAGAAGTTGGAGATTTAGAGCTCGTTATGAATCTAATTTAAAAATATCTCATCTTTAAACTAACTTGTACTATTTGATAAAATAAAACTTATAGCTTACAATATTTGGCAGATAATCCTCTTAACTGGATAAAAAAAAAAGTATTGTTATGTATTAGTTTGTACAGAAGATTATCGGAGAACAATAAACTACAAAGTTTGTTTTAGAAACGATTAAATAATCAGATTATTAAAGATTGTTATTCAGATTTTTGAGGGTTAATTTTTATGGAATTGATTTCTTTATAAACAAAGTAGCAAAGAGATCTGTTTTATGATTGATAGTTCCTTTCTGATAAGTGATTTGTCCGGAATTTTTAACTATTCAAGCACAATTACGTCATAGTAAATACTCTATTATAGGGCCTAACTACTGGGGCCTCCTGAACCCAGAGTGGAGCTTATGTAACATGGGTCATCGCCAGTCACCTGTGGATATTGACCCGTCGATATTATTGTTTGACCCTCACTTGAGGCCGGTGGACGTCGAGAAGAACAGAGTGAGTAAATAGAAATACAGGCAGAGTAAAAAACAAAATCTTTTTGAGAGAATGGAAGTCAAACACTGACTTTCGTAGTGGTACTTTTAACCCTCGTTACTACATTTGATATTTTTTTCTTTTTGAGATAATGGAAGTCAATCACGGAGTTTCGTAGTGATACTTTTAGCCCTCGTTACTACATTTGATATTTTTGATATGATATTTTTTCTTTTTGAGATAATGGAAGTCAAACACTGAGTTTCGTAGTAGTACTTTTAACCCTCGTTACTACATTTGATATTTTTTGTTTTTGAGATAATGGAAGTCAAACACTGAGTTTCGTAGTAGTACTTTTAAC